GTGGGGCCCGGGGCGGCGCGGAAATGGCAGGTAAAGGGGCTGCGGACGGCCTAGGCGCGCTGCTCCGCGCTCGGCGGCCGAGCTCTGGCCGGAGAACCCGGGCCCCGGAGGGAAGGGGCGTGGCGGGAGCGGGCGGCCGGAGGGGCTTTGCGGGCGCGGAGAGCGCGCGAGGAAAGGAGCGCACGGAGCCCGCGGCCGGGAGAGGTGCGAGGGCCGCGCCTCCTCCAAGCAGCCGAGCCCCAGCCGGCTCCTCTCCGGCCCTGAAAGAGTCTCTCATCGTGAGACTGTCAGAGGCGCGCCGTACGGCTGCGCCGGTCTGGACCTGCCACCCTCGCTGGTGGGGAAGGTTGGCACAGAAGGGTCCCTCAGTCCACCGAACTGGAGAAAGGCCCGGCGCCTCCCGGCCATCAGCTCCCAGCCCACTCGACTCAGCCGTGCGCCTAGGGCTGGGTGGCGCCGCGCTCCGTGCGGGTTCCCAAGCCCAGAACAACACTGACACCTTGGGCCCTGGGGTACTCGCGGGATGCCGGCAAACCCTCAATGGCTGCACCTTCCAGACCAAGGGGCTCCTCCTCAACCAGCTTAATGGGGTCAGGAGGAAAGGTGACCCCTGCCCTTTACGGGCAAACCTGGGGCACAGGACCTTGGCCTCCAGAGTTCAAATCTAAGAAGACCTGGGCTGCTCAGGCTCCCCGGAGATGCAGGTCTGCGGCCCGTGGGGAAAGCCTTCCACCCCCTGTCCTTCCCTCCAGGGAGTCTGGGTCCCAGCCGGGGGCCGAGGTTGCCACCCTTGTCCTGGCGGACAGAGAATTCAGGACCTTGAACTCCCGACCCTCAGTCCAGCTCCCCCTCAGGGCAGGGGAGTGCGGCCTCGAGCTGTAGCCGGGTGTGTGGCTGGCAGAGCCCAGGGGAGTGGGTCGGTGTCACGGGCAGGGCGGGGGCGCAGCCCGGCCCAGGGTGGGCCCCGTTGCTCTGAGTGAGGCTTTGGGTCCACAGAGGGGACCCTGTCTTGCAGGCTGTGGGGGCGGGGCAGACGACTACTAGGAGCGGGGGGGGTGTCACTCCGTGGAAAGCGAAAGAAGTCACAGCCACAAAGACGTTCTCCATAAAGTGCACCCTGTCCGTGCAGAGTGAGGTGTGGTGAGGCGGGGCCGGCCCTCTTGGGTCGTTTTCTGGGGCTCGGAGACTGAAAGGGTAGGACACCCCAGGTCACACACCCAATTCTTGAGGCCCCCTCTCCCCCTTCCTCTTTAAAGAGCGGTAGGAGGGGGCTGGGCTGCAGTTTCCGAACGACTGACAAGGACCTCCCAAAGTCCCGAAGCCCGGCCCCACCCCTGGCTTTCAGCAAACGTCCTGTACTGGCTGACAGGGAGGAACCCTGGCAGTCGGCTTCTTTATGGGAAGTAGCAGATCCCGGGGGGGGGGGGGGGCAGGAGCTTGTTACCCGACGTTTATAAGCAGAAGCAGGCGCAGCCGGGATGCAAGCCGGACACTGGTTGCAGGAGGAGCCCTGCCCGCTCAGCACCTGCGGGGTGAATGCAGACAGGTGTGGGCCTGAGGGGTGGGTGGCTGCTGGCTGGCTGGCTGGCTCCCAGGACTCGTGTCTCTGGCTGCCCTGGACGCTCTCCACAAAGTTCCGGCCTTTCCCCGCAGTTCTTGGTTAAACTTTCACTTTGCGGAGTCTCCAAACTCATCTCTTGCGAGGAGAGGCTGGTGTTCTCAGACTCTTTGTTCCTTTGGCCGAGCAGAGTCGAAAGTCCAAGAACAACCAAACCAAATTCCAAACCACCACCACCCCCCCCACCCCCCATTTGGGAGGGGAGGGCGGAGGGCAAGGCAGCAAGAGTGCAGCCCAGAAACCAGGGAAAACAAGTCCCTGGACGGGGGTCCCATCTTCCCTCTCTCCTTGGAGCCCCCTCAGGTTCATGGACCGCTGTGCTCCTCAGAAACCCCTCCTTCTCCTCCTCCTCCTCCTCCTCCTGGGGGGGGGGGTCTGAGCCCTCTTAGCCGCTGACTTGTGGGAGGCGATCGCCCCTTTGTGATGGGACCTGCTGTCTCTGAAAGGGGGCCGCCCGGCCCCTGCGTGGGTCCCTCCGCCTGCGTGTGCGGGTTTGCAAAGCTCACTGATCTCCGTCCAAAGGGGCTAATTACATTACTCACAGTAAATAGCTGCCCTGCTGTCCGCTCGGGCTGCCAAGGCGAGGGGGCTAGGTCTCCAGCTTAGTCCCCTTGATTGGCTTCATTTTTGTGTGAAATTGTGTTTTATGAGCTGCGTTCTGGCACCGGCACGACGGCCACGGCGTCCCGTCTGCGAATAACGTTATTTCTGACCCCGAGAAAAGAGCAAGGGATGCGCCGGGTCTGGGGGTTTATGGAAGAGGCGACTCCAGCAGCTTCGGAGACCCGGGCTTCGGGACGAGGGCCAGGCTGCCATCCCCGGGGTTCCCCTTCTCTCCCTCCTCCCTCCCTCCCTCCCTTCCTTCCTTCCTCCCTCCCTCCCTTCCTTCCTCCCTTCCTTCCTTCCTCCCTCCCTCCCTTCCTTCCTCCCTCCCTTCCTCCCTTCCTCCCTCCCTCCCTTCCTTCCTCCCTCCCTCCCTTCCTTCCCCCCCTTCCTTCCTTCCTCCCTTCCCTCCCTCCTTCCTCCCTCCCTTCCTCCCTTCCTCCCTCCCTCCCTTCCTTCCTCCCTTCCCTCCCTTCCTTCCTTCCTCCATACCTCCCTTCCTTCCTCCCTTTCTTCCTTCCTCCCCCCCCTTCCTTCCTTCCTTCCTCCCTCCCTCCCTTCCTTCCTCCCTTCCTTCCTTCCTCCCCCCTCCCTTCCTTCCTTCCTCCCTTCCTCCCTTCCTCCCTTCCTTCCTTCTTTCCTTCCTCCCTCCCATCCTTCCTTCCTCCCTTCCCTCCCTTCCTTCCTTCCTCCCTCCCTCCCTTCCTTCCTCCCTCCCTTCCTTCCTTCCTCCCTTCCCTCCCTCCTTCCTCCCTTCCTCCCTTCCTTCCTTCCTCCCTTCCCTCCCTCCTTCCTCCCTTCCTCCCTTCTTTCCTTCCTCCCTCCCATCCTTCCTTCCTCCCTTCCCTCCCTCCTTCCTCCCTTCCTCCCTTCCTTCCTCCCTCCCTTCCTTCCTCCCTTCCCTCCCTCCTTCCTCCCTTCCTCCCTTCCTTCCTTCTTCCCCCACTCCCTCCTCTCCCTCTAAGCGCCCCCCCACCCCCTCTTTCTAGATTGGGTGGAAGTTTCCTGTCGCTCCCACAGAGGGGAGTGAGTCTGCTGCCACCAGGGGCCTCCCTGAGGCACCCAGGCTTCGCGAGGACATGGCCCTCTTTCCCCGGGATGGCTGTGGGGACCGGTGGGACAGCAGCAGGCAGAGGGGAGGGAGGGAGGGCGGGGGGCACAGGGCAGGTCCGCTTCCTCCCCTCTGGTTCATGCTGGGCTGCTTCCTGCCGCTGCTCCAGTGTGGGGCCGCTAGGGGACTTCTGGTGGTTTGAATGAATCGACCGTCGCCGAGGACAGTGGACGTGTTTTAACAGGGCCCGGGGGGCGGGGGGGCCCTGCCAGGGCCGGAGGGAGGCAGAGCAACCTGGCCTCTGGTGACGAGCGGTGACGAGCGGGTCTGCCGTGGCCCGGGTCGGCTCTCACCTTCTCCTCCTCCACAGTGACGACCCCCCCACCCCCTCCTAAATGCCCCCGTGGCCCATTTCTCAAGTCCCCTCTCCTGCCAGGGCAGTGGGGACAGCGGGCAGCAGGGCGTGCCCCAGGCTCCCGGGAGTCCTGAGTCGCTGCCCACACTGACAGGTTTCGAAGAGGACGCTCCACTCCCCAGCCACTGCCCCGTGGACCCAAGCTGGGTCGGAGAGTCAGGCATCACGCCTGGGCCGGTTGCATGCGTGTGCCCGCGACTCCACGCCCATCCCCACACTGATTCTTCACAGAAAATCTTCTTGACGAGAGCACACTCTGGACCCATAGGCTCTCCTCGCCCTAGCCCGATCCTCACTGCGGGGCAGGGAGCGCGGTTCCAGCCGCCGGTACCGTTAGGCCCCCTCGGGGAGGTGAGGCGACTTTCTTCTTGAGAAGTGGGCGGAGGGAGGAGGGTCGGAGAGTGCGGGAAGGGCTCTCCAAGATTTACGTCTTCGGGTCCCGTAAGCTGAGGACCAGAAACTCCGCACGAGGAAACCCGAAGTTTGGAGCTGACGCTGTTTGCTTTGAGCTGGGGGTCGGACCCTGAACTTGGACCTAACAGGCGGGCCCTCTGCCTCCTGCGCCGGGGCGGGGACAATCAGGGCTCCTTGCAGATGCGATTGCTGGGAAGTCTTGGAAGGGGGTGTGTGCGCGCGCGCGCACGCGCGCGCGCTGGGGGAAGTCGCTGCCCCCTCCCGCGGCCTCCCCCGCCCCCACTCCCCAATGTTTGTCCCCGCTTGCCCATCACCAGGGGGTTGAGAGGAGTATGACAGGTCTTTGTTGTCTGAATAAAACTGCGTGGCAGCTCCGGGGAGAGAACTCCTCCTACTAAATTATCAAAAATGGGCTGGCTTTAGTCTCTTAACAAATTGGACGCAGCCCGGGCAGGAGCAGTCCCAACCCAACCTAGAGGCGCTGGGAACTTGCGAGCGAGCAGCCGGGGGCCGCCGGAGATCGCGCTTCTCTTCCCTCTCTTTGTGCTCGGAACTGTTCTCTCTCCGCACCGCGCTCTGCGGTCCTCCCTCGCTGCAGTTGTTTCTCATTAGTAACTCGATCTCTCGGAGCCGCGAGATTCGCCTCCTGTCCCCCCTCCGCCCGTGTTTGTTTTCTGCGCATCTCCTCGGGGAGCCGCCGGGGCTTGGCTCGTTCCTGTCCCCCACGCGTTTCCCCTCTCCAGCCAGACTATCTTCCACGCTGTCTGCTCTCTCTCCTCCCCTCTCTCCCCCCTGCCCTGGGTCCCCCGAGCGCCCCTGCGCTCCCGCGCCGCCGCGCAGCCCCCGCGGTCCCGGCCGCGCCCTCCCTCGGATGAGCTGAGAGCCCCGGGTGCGTGTATATGGAAATAGTGGGGTGCCGAGCAGAAGACAGCGCGTGTCCCTTCCGCCCCCCAGCCATGCTCTTCCACGGGATCTCCGGGGGCCACATCCAAGGCATCATGGAGGAGATGGAGCGCAGATCCAAGACGGAGGCCCGCCTGGCCAAAGGCGCGCAGCTCAACGGCCGCGACGCGGTAAGGAGGGCCCCGCGCGGTGCCGGAGCTGGGCGCGCTCTGGAGCCCCTGTTCCCGGCGGCCCGAGGAGGATGGCGGGTCGTGGGGAGAACACGCCACGCTGGCGGGTGGGTTTTCTCAAGTCAGCCTGTCTGCGGGGCTCAGCGCCGGCCTCTCTCTGTCTCCCTCGAAACGTCCCCAGTGCTGAGACCCCGCGCTCCACACCGTCGCCGCAGCCCTTCCCGGGAGAGCGGGGACGAGGGAGCGAGAGGATGGAGACGTCCTCGTCTGCAGACCTCAGACTCGGGTCTCCGGATCCCTAGGCTCCCGGGCGCCTCCCGGGAGAGGAGCTGGGCGCGAATCGCGAGCTGGGCGCGGGCTGCGGGCGGGCGACGCGCGGCCCAGGCGTCCGGGCCCCGCGGGAGCCGGGTGTCCCTAGTTTCGGGTCTGATGACGAGATCTTGGGAGTGGACTAGAGATGACGGGGCCACCTCCACTTCTCCAGACATTCGGAGCCTGGCACCTCCAAACCCAGCGGTTTTCGGGGTCGCTGGTAGCTAGGCTGGGCCCCTTTAACGAGCAAGGACTGCTCTCGGGTCCCTGGCAGGGCGCGAGCCTTGTGCAAGGAAGCCTAATGAAAAGCCGTTGGAGCTGGGCCCTCAGCCCGAGTCCGAGATCGCGCTAACCTTCAAGGGTGGGATCCAGTATCGCGGTCACTACTATTCCTAACAGTAAGAGGCATGTCTGCTCTGGAAAGAAAACCGACGAATCAGCTATGAGCTGCCCCTTCCCACTTAAGAACCGGGGAGGAAAAGCTACGAAACTCAGGAAGTGGCCACAGGCCGGCCGGCCGGTCCTTAGGCACCGTACTGGGGACTGTAGCTCCGACTAAACTAGTGCATGGCCCAGGGCCGCTCAGCGGTATGCGCGGTCCACCAAGGACTCGAGTGGGCGGATGTTTCTACATTTAAAACACGCGTTCAGTGCGCGCCCCCGGTCTGGGTCAAGGCCGAAACTACTTTTCCAGATCCGCCCCAGTTTTGTGGGAAAACTCCAGCCCATTTCTGCTGGGCTTGAAGGAGAAAATGTCCAGAGATTAGATTTTTCTCCTGCCTTCCATGGCCCTCCTGTTTAAAAAAAACAACAACAAAAAGCCGAGTTCTGCATTTCCACGGGCTGGGCTGGTCCAGGTGAGGTTTCTCCGTCCTCGGTGGGGGATGCAGGCGGGAAGCTGAGTTTGGACCCTGAGCAGGGTTTCAGGACAAAGGTCCCCCGGGCACGTGTGTTTCAGGGGCGCGGTGCGGCAGGACCGAACCACGGGCCCTTCGTGCCCTGACTGGGAAGAAGACCAACATCCCAGAAAATTAGGGACACAAGGGCTGCCACATGCACCCCCTCCAGACAGTGTGGGCCAAGCCGTGAACTCGGCTGGGAACACCCCTCCCCGCTTTTGCACGCTGAAAGGGGTTTGGAGAGACGGGACTGTGATGCTGGTTGCTCAGAAACAGTCGGTGCTCCTTCCTACCTCCTTTCCGCTCCTCAGCAACAACGTCCGCGGTTTTATTTTGTGTGTGCGGAAAGCCACACTTTAACTTTAAAAAAAAAAATCCTGTGATGATTTGAGTTCGGAGACATCCACCGAACTACAATCCGTGCGCGCCTTGGCCTTTCAAAAAGAGGTTCCGGGCGGCCGGCGTGTCCTTCGGAGACTAGTCCCCGGAGGCCGCCAGCGGTTCCGCGAACAGCGCAGAAAGGGGGTGAGCCGCGAGGGAAAATTAGCACGCGTTTTCCCCGACGTCGTCCTGGGCGCGGCGGCCCTTGCCCCTGGCCGGGCGTCCGAGCGCCCGGGCCCGGCGATTCCCCGGGACCGCTCGCCCGGGGCCCGCGCCCTCCTCAGCTTGCACCGTGCTTGCCTTGCAGGGCATGCCCCCGCTGAGCCCGGAGAAGCCCGCCCTGTGCGCGGGCTGCGGGGGCAAGATCTCCGACAGGTACTACCTGCTGGCAGTGGACAAACAGTGGCACCTGAGATGCCTGAAGTGCTGTGAATGCAAACTGGCCCTCGAGTCTGAGCTCACCTGCTTCGCCAAGGACGGCAGCATTTACTGCAAGGAGGATTACTACAGGTATTTCCACCCCACCGGTCCCTACGTCCTCAAACACCTGGCGGGCCCCCCTGCTCGAACCCGGGAGGCCCCCACCTCCGTTCGGTTCCCCACCTTTCGCCCCTTCGGGGTACGGTTATCGGTCCCGAGACCAGGGACGTCGGCTCACACACCTTCAAGCTGCAGCCCCAACGCGGGCCGTGAAGATGGAGGGTAGCGGGACCCGGGGTCACAGGGAATCCCGCGCGCTCCGGCGGCCGCCCGCAGCTTTTGGAGGGATCGGGGGACCCCGGACGGGGAAATGAACGCGTCGCCCGTCTCCGAGAGGAAAGCGGAATTTTTCCGTTTGCTGCGAACTGGGCAAACTCCGCGCCTCAGACCCGAACGGGATGCAGCAGCAGCAGCCGCCGCTGGGCGCTGCGTTTTCGCGCGGGTGGCGGGAGATCAGGCAAGGGACCACGAGAAGGCAGGATTGCCTCTGCCGAAAGCCAGGCCACTGGGTTCCCAGTTCCCTTTCCCGCTGGTGGGAACCTGCCCGCCAGACCCCCCGAACTGCCCGGCACTCTGTTTAACGGTCCTTTCCCGCCGCACGCTGCTGGGCAGATCGGGAAGGAGAGCGAGGAGCAGGTGACCCAGCTCCGCGCAGCCGGAGCGGGAGAGGCGGTTGGGAGAGAATCCGCTTTCCTCTGCAAAACGGCCGTTTTCTGCGACTGCCCGCGCGCGGCCCGCGCGCTCCCGCATCCGCACGGAAGACCGCCGCTCGCTCACAGAACGCCGAGCGATGGGCGAGCCGGTTTTACCTGCGTTGCAATTTAGTATTCTTTCCATAGGGTTGTGAGTTAACTGGTGCAGAGTTCTTTCCCCTCAATCCCCACCTTACAGAGAAGGAAACGGAGGATCCTTTGCCTGATTCTTCTCACTTTAACGTGAGGGTCCTTTGTCCTGTTTATCAGGCCAAAAAGCAAATAAAATTAATGGCCAAGAGGGCCCTGTCCTCCCCTCCGGAGCCCTCTGGCCTTAGGCCTGGGCCACTGCTGCCCACGGTCACGCACGGGAGATGGCCCTGCCTTTGTCTCACCCAGCGCCCTGACTCGACCGTTTCCTTCCAGAAGGTTCTCTGTGCAGAGATGTGCCCGCTGCCACCTTGGCATCTCCGCCTCCGAGATGGTCATGCGCGCCCGAGACTCCGTCTACCACCTGAGCTGCTTCACCTGCTCCACCTGCAACAAGACCCTGACCACGGGCGACCATTTCGGCATGAAGGACAGCCTGGTGTACTGTCGCGCCCACTTCGAGACCCTCTTGCAAGGGGAGTACCCGGCGCCGCTGAGCTACACCGAGCTGGCGGCCAAGGGCGGCGGCTTGGCCCTGCCGTACTTCAACGGCACGGGCACCGTGCAGAAGGGGCGGCCCCGGAAGCGGAAGAGCCCGGCGCTGGGAGTGGACATCGTCAATTACAGCTCAGGTGGGTCCTTCTTCCCGCCGCCGCTGCCCTGCGCCCCTACACGCTGCGCCCGAGAGGGTGCCCGCACAGCTGCTTCCAGCCCAAGAGCTGGTTGCAGGAGGTGCTTTGCGAACAGGCGCTTGTCACCGCTGCCCCTTTCTCGCGGATGGGAGGGAGAGGGAGAGAGCGAGGGGAAGGGGGAGGGAGGGAGAGAAACCTTTGTTTAGGTGGCGGCGAAAAAACACTGTAATGACCGGCCACGGGGCTGCAGTGACCCCCCCCCCCCGGCCCCGGGGACAGGCGGAGTCCAGCCCCGGCTGCCCGTGAGTTATCGGGCCTGCTAGTTTCTGGCGCCCACTGGGGCGAAGCAGCCCCAGGGCGATTCCTGCGTGGGAGCCGCGGCACAGACCCCAGGGAAGGTTGTCCCTGGTGCTGAGGAGAGGAAGAACTCTTCAGAGCCCAGCCCCAGCCTGCCTAGAGGGCAGGGGCTGTGCCCACCGCCCCGCGTCCGTCGGGAAACGGTTGGCGAGAGGGTGGAAGCACCAAACCCCCACCTGGGGGAAAAGCTGCTGGGGGTGGGGGGTGGGAATCGGTGTCTGCTGCTGAGCCGGCCTGCCCCTCCGTCCTCGGGTCCTCGGCCCGGCCCGCCAGCCGCTGCCCCGGGCGGTGAACCAGCCGGACACCCAGGCCCCAGGGAGGCCGAGAGAGGCCTCGGGTCAGGCCCCCGGGGGTCGCAGGGGCTGGCGGGCCTGCCCTTTGGTCCTCTGCCGATGCCCCTTTTTCTCTAAAACTCCAACGTGGGCACCGGGCATGGAGCGCCCCTCTTCCTTGCTGCTCAGGGCACAGCCGTCGGCGCCCACGTCTCCCGGTCGCCCGTTCCCTGGTGTGGGTCGCCAGCCCACACCCCCGCCCACACCCCCCGCCCGCCCGGGGAAGGGTGAGGGTGGTGACAGGCCTGAGAAGGTCAGTCTAACTCGGAAGGGCGGCAGCTCTTCCTGGGAGCCCCAACCCCGGGAAAAGGGGGCTCCAGCAGCCCTGGGTCAACTTGGGGGAGCCTAAGGGCTGGCCCTGGTCCAGCCGGTCTGGGAACCCCAGTGGGTAGGAGACTCAGGCCAGGGGCACCGCTCTGCCGGAGGGGGCCTTGGAGACTCACCGCGGCAACCCCACGCTGGTCCTGGGGGCACCTGGGCACCAGCCAGAGGCGTGGGCACCCAGCGCACACTCAGACCCTGATAGCGTCCCCTCCCTGCCCCCAGGAGCCTGGCAGGACACCTGATCTCTGTCCTGGCTCAACACTGTCCCTTGCAGACCAGAGAAGTGGTCTGCCCGAGGTCACGTAACCAGAGCGAGCGGGTGGGCTCCAGGAGCCCTGCTCTGCGGAGCCCGAATGTTCAGGGCTGGACCCGCTGGGTGCGCGGGATCCCCTCCAGCCCTCCGCTCGGTCCTCGGCTGAACTGATCGAAGGGGCCGGGTCCGTCTGGGCAGCGCGCTTCGCCCCCAGGAGAGCAAGGTGGGGAGCCCAGCGCGGCTGCAGTTGTCTCTCGGGTTTGGCGCCAGGGTCGCCGGGCGAAGGGAAGAGGGCCCACGGCTCGCCAAGGCCCCCACCCGGGGCGGTTTCGTATCTGGGTATCGGGGCGGCGGGTGCCCCTGGGTTTTACCAACCCCCGGCGGAGGATCGCGGCCTCGCGCCCTTCCCGCTGTGCGCAGGCGAGGGCTTTGGTCCGGGGCCACTCTGCCCAGCGCCCAGGCTTGGCCTCCTTTGATGCGTGGTCCCCGGGGCGAGACAAGGCAGGGCAGTAATTATTCTTTATTAATATAAGATGACATCGGAATCTGGAGCCACTCACCAAGGCCCTAGTGCCCTAATTAGAGGGGGTGGGGGGGGAGAGAGCGGGGGTGCACACCCGCCACCGGCAGTCCTCGGGAAGCAGGACATCCCTGGGCTTCCGCAAAGTCCAGGAAGGCGAAGGACATTTCTTGTCCAGCGGATGCCGGCCTGGCTTTGCGCCTGTTCATTTAACCCCATGAGCTACACTTGATCTTGCTTCGGACCTTCCTTTAAGCCGGAAAGATCCGTCCAAGGAGCTCTGGGGACAGTCGGATTTTGCTCCTTTACTGCGCTGAGAACCAGCGAGTGCAAATTTTATTTCTTTAAAAGGATGAACATTCCCTCCCATTCTGGCCTTTTGTTTGCACATTAGTGCTGCTACGAGGTTCTCAAGAAGGCTGGCGCTTCCTTGCCCCTGAAGGAGGAAAAGTTGCTGAGGCCTCCCTGCTCCCAGGGAGCTGCTATGAGACTAGTCCAGATGCCTTTTAGTCAACCCACCGTCCTTGCTGGGCCTGCCCAGAGGTACCAGCAAATAGTGTGTATTTCTCTACTATCAGGCGAAAATAGTCTAGAGAAAGAGGGTTAAAGGTGCCGGCTAGAGAATCCACCCAACGTTAGAAAATGCTTACGAGTCTAACGGCAGCGTGTTACAAAACCAGTGGAAGAAGTGCTTCAGCACGTTCAACCCGCTGGAAGGCAGGAAGTAAAATGCACCCTCAGTTCGCGCTCATTTCCTCCCGCTTCCCTCGGACCCTACGGGGCCTCTCTGCTGCAGTGGAAACCAGCCTTGGAAAGAGGAACGTTGGTACCGAGTATGATTGTACACACTGACGTGTTGGCAAAAAACATGTACACAGAGTATGTTTGTGATCCGAGGCCTTCCAGAGAAGACGTGAACATTGGCAAAGACCAGTTGGTGCCTGACATAAGGCAAATGCCTTTTACTGTGGGTATTCCTAATTTAGTTTTATCTCTGCAAACAGGCAGAGATTTTGGAGAGAGGCATGGAGAGTTTATTTGGAGTGCTGGATTGAAGTAAAACCCTCCCCGGGGTGAAAAGGGTGGGTCCAGGCTAGGCATCTCCTGTGTCACTAGGCACTTGAGCACGAACCGAGAGCCGACAGCTGTGGCACTTCTCAAAGTCTCCCTTTCCTTAGTTTCTCTTCTCCCTTCCCGATTTCAGGAGCTCCCGGTAGCGGTTACATTAGCCTCGCACTGACCCCTGGTGGTCTCTCCGGGGTCAGTTACTTCTCAGAAGGCTCGCCGCCCGGGGAACAGAAGCTCACTGGCATGCAGGAGACCGTTTCATTAGCGACTGCAAAAATAAAATAGTTAGACGTTCTCGTTAACGTGGCCACGCCAGCTGTGTATTTAGGGCTTCTGTTTAAGCCAGTTTGGAGAGAGTTATCATTTCATCTCGTAAATCAGGGCGGGAAACCCTATAGCTTTAGAAGTGGGCCCAGGGGGTACACAGGTTTACATAATGCGTTTGTACTTCCACGCACGTCATTTAGGATATTGCGCCGAGTCACTCGGTGGATGGAATGGATGGCTCTATTAAGTTGAGTAATGCAAGCGATAACGCAGGCCCAGAAAAACCACACAGAGCCCTCTCTGTTCGATAAAGTGCTAACCGTCTCCTCACACGCCCAATTGTCTTCTGGGTGAAAACAAGGCCCATTATGGTGTTTCATGAACTGAGATTCTGTGCTGATTAAAGAGTCATCGATCATGGAAATAGAGTGCGTGCTTGGAGACACAGTTTTATCAAGCCTTCCTATAATTATTTTTCACAAACTCCGTTTTAAAGGCTAATGGGGACGCAGTTAGGTTAGAAATCAAACTCATTTCTAAGACATATGACTTTGGGGCAGAGGATGGCGAGGGTCATTATCAAACCCAAGTTAAGTCTCCTGTCCTCAGGGTAATGTTCAATGTCACGTGCTGTTCAGGAAGCATGGCGTGTTATATACGAGAGGAAGGAAAGCTTGGAGGCAGCCTGCAGTGACTAACATGGGCCTCTCAGCCCATTTTGTTGTGGGAACGTTTATAATCTGGTTGTGAAATATGGCTCCGTTACGTGGAGATAAGTGTGGTTTTATGGCAGGTCATAAGATGCAGTTTCATCCATGGGAGGGTAGGAAAGTGCAATTCTGTTGGATATTTGAACCTGACATATCCCCGCTGGGTGGAGATAGGCTAAAATTCAAAGCACCTTCTCTGTCTTTTCTACAGGCGTGTTATTCTCGCTGGCGGGGCTTACAATGTCCGTGCCCAACATTTGGAGGTGGGCATCCTAGCTTAGATTCGACCTCAGGTTGGCTTGATTTTGCCAACCTGATAGTCTTGGATGATTTTACTGATGACCAGAGATACAAAATCTTGATGGCTTGCTTTTGGGGCTTCTCGTCCTGTGCTTGACTTAAAAGGCTCAAAGGTGAACTCACCTTCTCTGTTGCCACGGTGCCCTCCTACTTCTGTGTCTTATGGGAATATAAACAAAGGGGACATTAGTTCATGCCCAGCCTCATTACATGAGCAAGAATCTCTTGTTAAATACATTCTGCAATGCACAGTAGCTGACCTCCTGATGTAGCTGTAGCTATACGGAGTTCCTGAAAATAATTTTTAGAAAGTAATTCTAACCAGAGCACAGCAGGCAGATACTATTTTACCAAACAAAGTAGAGGAGCTCATGCTAAGAGATGCCTCACTCACGTCAGCACTAAGGTTTCTTTCCCTTCCCCCCACCCCACCCCCAAGAACATGATCGGGTTGATTTTAAATATTCTATTATAACGCACCAGAGATTCAGGCTGGTCAGATGTGAATATACATCAGATAAGTACCTGAATTAAGGATTACAGGAAGAGAAACTGGCATGTCTTATATGTTGCGAGGTTGGCAGAATCAGTAAATATTTAGCAAGATGTTTTCATGTGGTAATTGCGTTTACCGCGTGGAGCCAGTAGGTTATTGGAAATGACCTTTTAAATGCACGGCTTCATGTCCCGGGGATAATGACTTTCTGGCTGGTTTCAAAGGCTGGGCTGCTCTGCCCCCTGTGCTGAGGAGGGCTGTGCCCGGGGAGGGGGGACGCCACCCACTTGGTGCCAGGCCAGCCAGGGCCACAGCGCGAGTCCCACTCACAAACACCCAGAGCAGCGGGGCCAAGACGTGAGCCTGGCAATGAGCTCCCGGCGTCTGCCCTCTGCCTGCCGTGGGGAGCGCTTCAGGCAAGAGCCACGTGGAGACACGTCTAGACCCACTCTCTTGCAGAAAGATCGATTAAAGGCACTCCAAGGAAGGACGGGGTTCTGCCTGACACAGCCCTCCCCGTGAACCAGTTGCAGCCAGAAAGCCCTCGAAAATAATATTCTTAGGATTACGTAAGAAATCTACACAGTTGCATTGTGTAACCCCCCCCCCCCCACCTGCAGGCACTTTCTAACTCTTTCCCGATGGAGAAGGCTGTGGGGGCAGCGGGGGAGGCTAGAACCTGGAACCCACCTTGGCTGCCTGGTTGCTGAGAGGCCCTCCCGTTGGAGGGAGCTGAAGGGAGCTGCTTGCACAGCCCCGGGGCAGACAGACAGACAGGCAGACAGACAGACAGCCTGCCTTCGGGGGGCGGGGGCCACGTCACAGACGAAGACCGAGCGTGGGGTCTCTCGGGCCTGTGTGTGTGGAAGGCGTGTGCACGCAAGCACTTAGGAAAACAAGTGTTTCCTTCTCGTTCATGGAGAATTCTCTCACTCCTGCACTAATGCATCTCAGGTTTCCCTAGCAACCCTTAAGCAAACGAGGAGGTCTACCCGATGTTTTTCCAGGGCGTAAACTTTGGCTGTGCCACCTTAACAGGTCAGCTTGGCGGACTCCGGCAGGTGACCTCTTCCCGCTGCCTGGCTACCTGTCCTCACTGGGTGGACCGTGTCTCCCACGGTAGCTCGTGGTCACGGCGTCCCCCTCCCGCCGGGGCAGGCGTCCCCACTGAGCCCCCGTTCGTTTCCCGGGCCCACCGCAGGTTGCAACGAGAACGAGGCCGACCACCTGGACCGAGACCAGCAGCCCTACCCGCCCTCCCAGAAGACCAAGCGCATGCGCACCTCGTTCAAGCACCACCAGCTGCGGACCATGAAATCTTACTTCGCCATCAACCACAACCCGGACGCCAAGGACCTCAAGCAGCTGGCCCAGAAGACCGGCCTCACCAAAAGGGTCTTGCAGGTAAGAAGGCTCCGTCGTTGGCTGTGCATACACTCCCTCCCCCTGGCCCGTGAGAGTAGTTCTCTCCCCTGTGGAGCCACGCAGGTATTGCCCAGGCTGCTCCTCATGAGTTGACTGTCCCGGAGGGTGTACTGGGGTTGCGCAGGGGCTCGGGGAAGGGGCCCGGAGAGAGAGCCAGGGTCTTCAAAATGCAGCCACGTGCTCCCCGAGGTGGACAGAGGGGTCCTCCGGAGCCCGCACAGCTCAGTGTCTGCAGACACAGGGATGTTATCCGCACAGGCTGTGGCATTGGAGGCTAAGGAGTTGGACTCCATGCACAGACTTGTGGGGGACCTGCTGGCCTGCTCACCCCCCATTCAGGCCGACCCTCTTTTCCAACTCCCCCAAAGCCACAGTAGGGTGAGGGCCTCAGCGACCAATTGGTGTTTTCCCTTTTGAATGAACCACATTTAAAAACCAAGTCCCCGGGGCTACATGGGCCGTGCACTTGCTTTTGTAGAGGCAGCAGCATAGAACTGTCCCACCACTGAGACGCCAGGGGGGTGCATCGGCTCACCTGTGGTGGCCCTCCAGGTCTCAGAGGCCAACCACAGCGGGCATTTGGGGGTCCCGTGGCCCAGAAATATGTCCTGTGCCAAGAGCACCCACACTGTGCCAGACCCAGGAACAGCCTGAAACCCGCCCCCGCGATGCCCGCTTCAGAGGAGTGAATTGTACTTGGAGAGACCTGGGACCCCGCTCCTCCTCCTTCCCCGGAAACAGTGCTTGACAGCGCAGGGTGCAGCTCCTGCCCCTCCTCTCCCTGCCTCCATCTCCATGGTGTCTCCAGTGCTGTGCCATCTGTCCCCAGTCAGTGGCTCTTGTTAATGCTGGGGGGGGGGGGGGGCACGGGCAGGGCATCTGCAGTGTGTGTTAGATGAGTCTGTCCTGGAAAAAAGAAAGGAAGAAAAAAGAGAAAGAAAGAGAGGGAGAGAGAGAGGGAGGGGGAGAAAAATGGCCCTCTGTCCCAAGAAAAAGAAACAATTATATTTAAAAGATGTATTTAAAAGAGAAACCTGTATCCTTCCCACACCAAAAAAAAAAAAAAGAAAAAAAAAGAAAGAAAGGAAAGGGAGGCAGAGAAAAACAAAGTCTAAACATAAACATCGGTAAAGACCTCCGTTGGGATTGGTTTGCAGGTTTGGTTCCAAAACGCACGAGCCAAATTCAGAAGGAACCTTTTGCGGCAGGAGAATGGGGGTGTCGATAAGGCGGATGGCCCGTCGCTTCCAGCCCCGCCCCCCGCGGACAGCGGCGCGCTCACCCCGCCCGGCACGGCGACCACTTTAACCGACCTGACCAACCCCACTCTCCCCGTAGTGACGGCCGTGACCTCTAACACGGACGGCCGCGAGGCCGGGAGCCCCTCACAGACTACCTTAACGAGCCTTTTCTAACATTGGTTTCCTGAAACCGCTTCCTCCTCCCCCTCTTCTTATTCTAATGATTATTTTATTATTTACGAGACCTTCCCTCCCATCCCCCACCCCGCGCCCCCACCCCCCACCCACAGACACTTGGGAAATAAAAACGACACTTGGTGTGTAGCATCCGCAGCCACTTGGCGAACGAGTTTACAGTATTGTCTCCTTTACAAAGTGTATTTATTTATTTTTTTGTCTACAAAGTGTATTTGGATTTAAAAAAAATCAGATCTTTCAGTCGGTAAGGGGAGTTTTTGAATCGTTCTAAGTGCCTCTTACAATTGTATGTTACTTATTTCCAGAATCCCAAAGGGGGAAAAAAAAAGAGAGCAGTCTTTGGGTAATCATAATCCCACTTAAAAGATTAGGTTAATAAAGTATCAGATAGTCAATCACAGCTCTTTATTAAATCTTGCAATTGTATGCATACTTCGGGGATTTTGAAAACTTTACAGTTTTAAAAATTTAAAACTGAAAAACATGTTTTGGTTGCTCCTTTTTCTTACAAATGAGACAGAAATATGACGAAAGACTAGCACTAACTGAGGCAGCTGAACTATGAAGGGTTAATGAACTTGAATTAATTAGGGTGGACCTCTATTCCAGGAGGGGGACTTCCCCTTCGTGTCCGACACTCGCCTCAGTCAGTGGCTTTCTCGGGCATTTGGACAACACTGAACAGACTGAAACTCCCCACGTATCCCTGAAATTCCAGCTAGAACTTGAAATGCTGTGCTCGTTTAACTTTCAAAAGCTACAGATGGTAGTTGTAAAACCATTCTTTCTAAATTAATTTCCCCCCCCAGGGAAAGTGGAAATAAGCAAAATATAACTTTTTAAGAAGTCAAAAAATCAGCGTAACTTAATTAACTTAATTAATAGCTCTATGGATTGGCTTCAGCTGTACCACGATATTGTGTCTGGCATGCTCCGTGAATCATGTTAACAAAGAAACTTAGTAGACGAATACTGCCTCTGAGAATTCTTTGTTTTGTTTTTTTTTGTTTGTTTTGCTTTTATTTTCCATTGGCACAGGATGATATATTGGTCAGAAAAAAAATAAAACTTTTCTGGCATTAGAGATTTGAAGTCATCAGTCTTAATGTAGATAAACTCAGAAGCCTCGTGGATGCTGATCTGAATATATTTCCTAGTTTACAGTAGCATTTTTTTCTTTTAATTTAAGTGGAAATCTTAATGGTCTGGGCAGTGGTGAATGTTCATCTCCATGCTTCCGTTGTAGTTAAATTACAATTAGATTGTGGATTTCCTAAAAAAAAATAATAAAGAAATAAAAAAAAAAGAAGTCAAGATATATGTCTTGCTTTAGTGGATTGTTAAGAATAACTTTGCACATTTTCTCCACTTTTCGGACCCCTCAAATCTCCTCTGGTGGTCGAAGTGGCTATTTAATAGATTTTGAAGGTGTCCTCTGGCTGTGTAGGTGCGTGGTTACATATTGACGATTCACTGCCCACATTAAAGTGCATTATTGTAACTTTTGCTCAGGGTCTTTAGAAAATTAGCACAGAAAGTAGCTTATTTTTTAAAAAAAAAGTATGATGGAAGGTAAGTTAACACTGTAACAGAAGAAAGGTGTGACTGCCGTGGTGTACTCAGCAAGTGTGGTTATCATCTTCTATGGAGCTTAAATCTTGACTTTTCCTATTTCTATTCCACTTTGGGCATTTACCACTAACCAGACCAAACAACCCTGGTAAGGCTGAGATCTTATTGATACACTTTTACAGGTAAAATGTTGATGCTTATAAATTTTGTTCTTTGACAGAACAATATATGGTACTATAGATCTACTTTATTAAGTAGACTAATTATAACTCAGTTCTCCTATGTGCCTTATGATATAACTTGGAAGTAAGTTTGTGAAAAATCAGGATATATGTGTTGTCTGTTAAATTAACTGTTTTAAGCCCTTTGACACCTCACTAGTTTTGTACTGTTTTACCTCTGATTTCTGAAACTCTTTTTATGGTGTATCCTGTTAGAGGGGCAACATGTCATAGAAAGCGGTGCGCACTCTTTCAAATATAGTTGATAAATTCAATAATCTTATATATTGAGCTTCGTGTTTCTAGTACAGTAAGTGGTCTAGCAAAATCGTCCATGTTTCTTTGTTTATTGATAAATGCATTGTATAGAAACTATTTCCCCTAAATATTTATGGACCAAACAATTGTGATTTATCCTATTAAATTTGTGTGAATAAACCATTTTGAATCTAAGGAGTTTTATTTCCCAGCAGTTTTATTTAAGGTCTAACTGGACTAGTGTTTTCCAATATCTGTATTCAAAAGCTATTAAAATAGTATGACAATTTTTTTAAATATTCAAACATACAAATAGTTTTGAGATTTCCAAACTTCTGGTTCCTTTTAAATGTACACACCATTGCATATGCAATGTAGTTCAACTCAGAATTGCCTTTAAATATATTTTCTTAGAATAAAAGTAATGCCCCATGGATTTGACTCAGCCCAATTTTTAGAATTTAAAAAAGAGAGAGAGAGAGAGAGAGAGATAACTAACAGATAAAGTAATTGCATGAAAAGAAGCCTTAAATATGATTAAGATTTAATGCTAGGTCTCTTGAGCACCAGTGGGTATTTGTAAATCTACATAGAAATTGCAGACCCCTGAAAGCCAAGTTGCTCTGGAGTTAATACATTGTCACTATGATTTTTTTCAGGGAGAACAAATCTTGGGGCATTACAGCCAAACATCCCGACGTTTGAAAATTCCCTAAAGTATTAAAAGACGGGGAAAGTTTGATCGGAAATCCACAGCAGTGAAGACAAAGACAATATTAGGTTATCAGAATCACACATGCTAAAATCTATTGAGCCAAAAAAAAAAGCCACAAAAAACAAAAACAAAACAAAAAAAGAGCAAGCGAGAGGAAAGACTTAAATGTCATTTACTGAGTGTTAACAACAATGCTGTTCTTTATGGCTCCTAACACAAACGGAGGCTTAAACCGATGTGGTTTAAAACAAAATGAGGTACACCGTGTACAAACAGAGCAACCTGGCAGTAACACGCACACCCCATATTTGAAGCAAATTATTACTGAAAAAAAAAATCCGCACATTTGTCAAGCATACTGGTTGTATAGTCCCCAACCTGCATTTCACTCGCTTGCCAATGTGTACCAGCCCGACCTGTTCATGGCGTTTTCCAATTGTAAATCCAGAGAAAAGCTACCACTCACGCGAGAGGGTAGGGATCAAAGCCCAGTAATTTTAGTATTATTGTTTATTCCTTCCCTTTTTCAACGGAAATCTCTGCATGCACTTTTCCACCTGTCACTCCTAGTGTGCATCTCTGTATGACGAATTCTCTTTGCTGTTTCTTGTATGATAAATAGCTTTCATTAATAAACATTTTATTTGATGCAAACATAGTTAACTTTATGTTAAATACACGCTGTTGAAAATGAATTTTGAACACTGCCGGAGAGGCAGAACAATGCATTTTTAATTTGTACTTAGGAGAAAAGTGAAATGATATTATGAGGTTCAACTCTGGTAGTCCAGGCTAAAAGGACTTACTTGGGGTTTAACTTTCCATGACTTCTTGTTGTATCAATTGACATGTATTAAAAGTTAAAAAGGAACAACCCTTCCCTAAATTGCAACAAAAATAAACCTTAGAATAAACTATCACGTAAAATTTCAGCAACGTTTTAGAGTGTTAGAGTAAAATTTACAGACCTTCTGTAAGTTTACGTGTTCGCTATGCAATGAGCAAATTTACTGACGTATACAGATATGCTCTGAACTGTGCAAGGTCCAGTCTTTGCACAGTTCAAACCAAATGTGATGTTACAGACAAGCACGTTGAAAGAGAAACACATATTTAGGAATCAGGTTTTTTTTTTCATTGTAAAGGGAATATTTGAAGAATTTTTTAACGATTCCTATTTAGCTGTATATCCAAAGCATATGTTAAGCAAGTTAACATATAACTTTCCAGAAAATTTTTCATTATGATGAAATTTTTATTATATACAAATGAACCCTATGTAAATGATGTAACTTTTATGAATGACAGACATTAAATATTTCACTTACATGTATTCTCAGAATTTTGAATGTTTTCTTAAATGCTTTCACTTCCTGAATACTAAAAACAAAAAACAAACAAAACAACTCACTGATTTAAAAAAACAAAAACAAAAATAATGCACCATGACAAGTACACTGGTCTGAGTGACCCCAAAGCATGCTGGTTTTGTCAGTTACCCGAATGTTTCACGCCTCTCTGAAACCTTCTGTGTGGCTGTAGCAACTTACACAGATTTTCCCGTCCATTTCCAGCTAGTTTGTTGGAACCCCTGTTCTGCGGGGATTGCTCCTCTTTTGCATCACCTACTGCAGTTTTGTTTAGAGATATTTTGGAACCTCACCCAGGTTTTCAGACCTTGAAGTATTTGCCTGGCGTGTGTGACATGTGGGAAGAGACCAAAGAGGGAAAGAACATAATGGGAAGTAGACATCTGAAAAAAAAAAAAAAAAACCCACTACGAATTCGAAGCAGGCGAAAAAGTGAAAGGAAGGAGCACTAATTAGGTGAGTGGGAAGAGAACAGAGCAGGTGACAGAGCCGAAGGCCTGTCCCCAGGGAGTCCAGCTGCCTGTGAGTCAGGCAGTGACACACTTGCTCTTTAGCTCAGAAACGAAGGATGCGGATTTCTTGTTGGGAATCAGGACGCTAAGTTTTCATAGCTTCTGCCTCCCCGGTGCCTGGGCTAGTCTAACTTCTGGCAAGTGGATCTTGGGCAGAAAAAGCTTTAGTGTGAGTATCTGTCTGTTTGGTTCTGTTAATGCTGAACCATGCATTAGCCATGTTGATGCTGACTTACGGAGTGGGCAGGCTTTATTATACCTCACATAAGGATAAAGCTCCCTGATCAGGCACCCAAAGTAAACACTTCTAAGACCATGGTGATTTTTCATCACCTAAAAAAACAAAAAAGATAGCGTTATTGAACACAACCCCAGTAGAATCCACGACACATTCTTTTACAGTAACCTTTCTTTGGAGTCAAAGCGTTTTGGAAGCCACGTAGAAATATGATCTCCCTTTCTGCTGCGGTGGGCTGGCGGGGGTCACGCGGAAGGTGTTAGAGGGGAACCTTCCGGAATGGAAATGTGGGCTCACGGCTCTGAAGGAAACGCCTGTGGATAATCCCCTTGTTATAAAAGATAACAAGAAACACCCAGTTTTGTATGGAGTTTGACTCTTGAATCGTCAGCTAGGTTACACACAAAGCTGGCTCTGCGTGCAGAGAGTTCGTGAGCCCGAGGTGATTCAGCACCTGTCACAGGGCACGCTCTGCAGACACCAGGGTTAAACGAGGGCGCTGGGACCGAGTCCTGAGTGAAGAAACGGCGATGTATTCCCTCCGAGACGGTGCATTTGTACAAACTCTGGGTCGGCCTTCTGGATCTGTTTCATGTTTCTAGTAATTGGGAACCAACTCTGAATATGTAAATAAATAAAAACCCTCTAAAGTAAAACCGTAGCTCTTTGCTTTACAGCCAGTTTCAAAAATAGGACATTTAAAAAAAAACTGTTGGTGTCACTGATTCTGAAACATTTTTATTATACCTATTCAGCCCCTATAATTGTGTTTTTCAGAACAATAGTACCATTGACCTTATTTTTAAAACAAATGATAATTCGAAGTCACTACATTCTTTTGATTGCCCCCTGGGGACATTTCCATTTCGTTTTACCTGTTTGCATAGCAAAAACCAAACTTCGGAACCGTGCATGGCACCCAAGGAGGTGCCTACCCGTGATGCGAGTGGCCAGACAACCACAATTAAACTTCTTCCTGGCTGCGCTAAAAATAGACATTTCCATCTACCATCACGCCTTCCGACACTTCTCTGTGAATATTAATATGGCAAACGCACACTCATCATGCATCCTAAAGACATGCTTTCCTTCCCTGGGAATATTCCGTTTTGCTTCTTTGCACGACATGTATCTCGTGCTGAACTAACAGGAACCGGGCAAGAATAAGGGTCCAGGCATGAGCCATATGTAGAAAGTTCTGGGTGTGCATTTCTGTGTATTTTTTCCTCAGCTATTAGGATGGTCAGGAACATTTTTTTCTTTTGGAACTTCATGTTACATCTTGCATGATCTTATAAATGAATCTGAAGAGTAACTGGATACTTTTCATGGTTATTTGAAAATAAAATTTTGCTACAAACAAGACGTTCCAGTCTCGATTACTTCGTATTATGTATGAATATATTAATTTTTCTGTACTTTCCCATTGAACCAGAAAATATTAACCTCGAGGGATATTTAAATGGTTATTTATGACAAATATACAAAGATGAAGAAAGTCTAAGGTAAGGCTGGTTTGACTTAATTGTTTGGCTTTCTCTCCTTCTCCGAAGCAGCAAAACCCACAAAGGACCATCTGCTTTAACCTTGACATTCAGGGGCTCTGACAGCTCGCATCACTTAAAGCTCTATTTACTATTCAGGAAACTTTAATTCTGGAGAATAAATGCCCTTTATGAAATGCGACTTTTGAAAAGCACGTAGGTATTGCATGATTTCAGGCAGCCTCGGCTGCTTGAATTCTACAAACAGAGTGCTTTTTCAGAGGAAAAAATACAGTGGAAAATTATGCTACATACACTATTTGTAGCATTTTACTGGATAGAGCTCTATGCTGTTCCACAGGAATTTTAAGGGGCTATAAAAACCTCCAAAATAGCATGATGTAAAGAATTAACTGGTGGTGTTTTTCTGTGATTAAAACGGAGACGGCTTGTTTTATAAATACAGTTACAGAGTTGCTTGATTATCTTAGCGTGGGTCGGTCTCCTGAATATTTTAATAACAAAGAGAGCTTTGCATTTCCGTGTCGTTCGTTATCAGTTTCCTGTTTAAGCAACATGAATCAGTGTGTGTGTGTGTGTGTGTGTGTGTGTGTGTGTGTATACTTTCTTCCTAGGAAACACCCATGGAATAATATATGTCTTAACAAAGAAGGCTCATCACTGTTAAAACGACGTTTAATTAAAAGGCAAAACAATGGCCGTGTCCCCCCAGTGGGAGCCACCAGGACAGGCCTGCCTTTCCGGGCCCGGCCTGGGGCTCCCTCCCAGGAGTGTCCCTGCGAGGCCCCGGTTTCCCAGGGTCCGTCGTCGTCCCGGGGCTCAGCCGTGACTCTGCTTTGTGCCGCAATTACTCTGCGGGGGGGTGGGGGGTGGGGCGGGGAACTTCTCCTTCAACGACATTGGACTCGTCCTTCCTTTTCAACAGACCACCACCCCCCCTCCACAACGGAAAGGGCACCTTTTGCTGGAATGAACAGTTTCATTTACTTCTACTGAAGGAGGCACATGAGAAAAACAGGTTCTCTCACAGCCGGGAGAGGTCACGCCGGTTTGCACTGCTAGCCCGTGAAGGCGGCCGGGCAGCCCCGAGTTCACTAGTGAACACGCGGTATGAACGTACCCCCCGCCGCCCACACGCGCACGGCGGGAGGCGGGAGGCGCAGCCTGTGTAACGGAGCTCGACTCCGGGGCTCACCAGGAGAAACGTTCCCCCACGGCTGCAACTTCAGCGGCCTGAACACCTACCGGCCCCGGGGCCGCACTGTGCAGCCCTGGGCACCGGCGCTGGTTTTTCCCATTTCCTAGAGCACCTCGAGCTGGACCGTGTCGCCAGTAAAAACCAGCACCCCGGACTTGGTTTCTATTTTCGTTTCCCCTCAGCTGTACCTAAACTCATGGCTTCCTGCTGTGTGCTGGAAAGCGCCATACCGGGCCGTCTGGTTCTAAGGGTTCAAACCCCGCCCCCACTTCCCCTTTTATTTTTTGCAATGGAAACAGAAAGCACCCAGGCAAATGGGTATTGTTTCTAGCTCAAGGAAAACGGTGGGCCTTCCTTGGGAAAAGGTGGATATCAGGAGTTTCAGTTTAGTCTCTCTAGATGTACTTTTTTTTTAAACAATGGCATTGCAGCCATGTGGTCATTGCTAGTATCTCTTCTTTAAAAAAAAAGATTTTATTTATTTATTTTTAGAGAAGGAAGAGAGGGAAATAGAGAGGAAGAGAAACATCAATGTGTGGTTGCCTCTTGCGCACCCCCTACTGGGGGCCATAGCCTGCAACCCAGGCATGTGCCCTGACTGGGAATCGAACCTGC